GCGTTGGTTCTTTTCATCGTAGTCGACAAGAGCAGCAGTCATGTCGCTGGAAAAGGGATCGCCGTAGCCTTCAACAAAGGACAACTGCTTCCAGATGGCCATGCCAACGACTCGTCTTTCGCCCTGCTTGTCTGGTTCAGGCAGAGTGGCTTTGAGATAGATGGCGTTGGGTTGTCCGTCTTTGTTGGTGGTAGTGGATTGCCATCGCTTCATCAAGGTTTGGGCGTGCTTCTTCTGTCCCTCGTCTGTGTCCCAGCCTGGTGTCATCAGCCGCCATACAGCATCTTTCGCCTGATGACCAAAGGCTTCGGAAAGACAGTGCTGTCCTTGCCTAAAATCTTGCTCGGTCTCGAAAGGCGCTATTATTACGTCGTTGTTGTTGGCCATGGTGGAGGTAGTATAGATGGTTTTGTGGGTGTGGGAATGCTTTACGTGGAGTATGTTGGGGTAAGCGGGCAAGTTTATGTATGAAGTTGTTAGTTTGGAGTGACTAAAGGACCCATACGATGACATGGCCTTAAGCCAGTCATGATTGCCTGACAGTTGCCTGGTCCTTGGCGCGGCGTTCCAACGTAAAGCCGTGGTTTGATGGATTAGATGAACTTTGGATAATCATGTCCTCGAGGGAGTGATTATGTGAGGTGGATATACTTCAAGACCATGGACTACTTGAGTAAGGTGCCGAACGTAGCGACAAGGCTGCACTTATCTAGATTCACAAAACGAGGAGGTTGCGAGGACATTTCAGATGCAATGGTAGAATCGCCGACCCGCCTAATCGGAAACACAGTCAGATGCATGTGGTGACACAGGAGGGTGCAGAGAGGGTTGTGATGGCAGGCGACGGCTAGCGTGGCGTAAACAATTAGCAGGGATGACGCGCTCGCGCCTGCGACACGCTTTCGCGTTCTCCCTAGGCACTTTCCATCCACTCCACCAACAACAAACACACATCCACCACCCGTCACAGATCACGCTACAAGGCGTCATATCTGCCGGTCACATACTCAAAATGCCAGGCGCCGTAACCAAAGCACCGGCGAAACGCGCCCTTACCGAAACATCGAGCACCCGCGCAAATGTACAGGCTTCGCCCCACTCGTCGAAGAAGCTGAAGATCCAGAATGGCAACGAGAGGAGTAGACCACCACAGAAGACTGTCAATGGCTCCTTCAACGCGAGCCAGGTGGGCCCAAGCGAGTTTGAGGAGACGTTGGAGAAGATGACGCAGGACATGGAGACGTTGAAGAAAGACAACACAGAGAAGGACCAACAATGGCGGCGGCCTCCCTTGCCAGAGGACTTCAACGAGATGACACAAAATCTCGTCTTCCAACAGATTGAGGCTGAAGAAGGCGTACTTAATGGTGGCAAGACGACGGTCAAGCTCTTTGGTGTAACCGAGGTGAGCAACATGCAGACGGCATATGTGACCTTGAGCTAATTATATATCACAGACTGGCCACTCCGTTCTTATCCACGTTACCGGTTTCCAACATTACTTCTACGTCGCCGCGCCCCTCAACTTCCACAAAGAAGACTGCGAGCCGTACAAGGTGTTTCTGGAGAGCGAATGCCAGAAGAATTTCAACCAGCACTCAGCCGTCATCGCGTCAGTACAGATGTGTATGAGGGAGAACATATTGCGCTTTCAGGGTAACCAGAAGAGCCCATATCTTAAGATCACTGTCACAGACCCGAAAATGATCAACCGCGTCCGAATGATGGTGCAAAAAGGCAATGCTAATTACAAGCGACTCTGGCCGGCCAGAGAGGATGGTATCCTTACTTTCGACAACATCGCCTACGTGCTACGTTTCATGATTGACACCAAGGTACGTCATTTTGACAACTAGGTTGTGGCGTCACTGACATTCCAGGTCGCCGGTATGTGCTGGGTCGAAGTACCAGCCGGAAAATACAGGATGATCAGCCCTCGCGATCGACACTCCAATTGTCAGATTGAGGCACAGTTACACTACAGTGATCTCATCGCCCACCAGGCTGAAGGTGAATGGGCCAAGCTTGCCCCTCTCCGCATCCTCTCTTTCGATATCGAGTGCGCTGGCCGTAAAGGTGTCTTTCCGGAGGCGAACGTCGACCCCGTTATTCAGATCGCAAACGTCGTTACAAGATACGGAGAGCAGAAACCCTTCGTCAGGAACGTCTTCTGTCTAGACACCGTCAGCCCTATTGTTGCGACACAGGTCTTGTCTTTCCAGGATGAGGGCGAGATGCTGATGAAGTGGCGAGACTTCGTCGAGGAGGTCGACCCAGACGTTATCATCGGTTACAACATCAACAACTTCGACTTTCCGTATTTGCTCGATCGTGCAAAACACCTCAAACTACAGAGATTCCCGTATTGGTCCCGACTGAAGACTGTACAGTCCAAGGTAGAGACCTCCAATTTCTCCAGTAAACAGCTGGGAAACCGAGACACGAAGACGACCAACACCAATGGCCGTCTACAACTCGACTTGTTGCAACTCATCCAGCGAGATCATCAGCTGCGAAGTTATACACTCAACTCGGTGTGCGCTCACTTCCTCAAAGAGCAAAAAGAAGATGTACACCACAGTATGATCACAGAACTGTTCAATGGCGACTCCAATTCCCGGCGACGATTGGCTGTATACTGTTTGAAGGATGCCTATCTACCACAGCGACTGCTTGACAAGCTCATGTGCCTGGTCAACTACACGGAAATGGCTCGTGTCACGGGTGTGCCTTTCAACTACCTTCTTGCCAGAGGACAACAAGTTCGCTTCATCAGCCAATTGTTCCGTAAAGCCCTTGAGCATCAACTCATCGTTCCGGATCTCCCAAACCAAGGCGACAGCGGTGACCAGTACGAAGGTGCGACTGTCATTGAGCCCAAGCGTGGCTACTATAAGGAACCCGTCGCAACTCTTGATTTTGCTTCGCTTTATCCCAGTATCATGCAGGCTCACAATCTTTGCTATACAACCTGGCTCGACAGGCAGACAGTGGAGAAGCTCAAAATGAAGAAGGATGAGGATTACATTGTCACTCCGAACGGCGACATGTTTTGCACATCAAAGACACGTAAGGGACTCTTGACAGAGATTCTAGAGGAATTACTCGGTGCGCGTAAGAGGGCGAAGAAAGAGCTGGCGGTCGAGACCGACCCCTTCAAGAAGGCTGTGCTGAACGGTCGTCAGTTGGCCTTGAAAGTCAGCGCCAACTCGGTTTACGGATTGACGGGTGCCACTAACGGAAAGCTGCCATGTCTTGCTATCGCAAGTAGTACCACAAGTTTCGGTCGTCAGATGATTGAAAAGACCAAAGCCGAGGTAGAGGCAAAGTACAACATCGCAAATGGATATACGCACGATGCCGAGGTCATTTACGGTGACACCGATTCCGTCATGGTCAAGTTCGGTACCTCAGAGCTAGCAGAAGCTATGAAGTTGGGCGAGGAAGCTGCGATTTATGTGTCTTCGAAGTTCATCAAGCCCATCAAACTGGAGTTTGAAAAGGTCTACTTCCCCTACCTGCTCATCAACAAGAAACGTTACGCGGGTCTGTACTGGACCAATCCAAACAAGTGGGACAAGATGGACACGAAGGGTATCGAAACAGTTCGTCGTGACAATTGCCGTCTGGTTCAGACTGTCATTGAAACTTCCTTGCGCATGCTGTTGATCGACCAGGATCCGGAAGGTGCTCAAGAGTAAGTTATTCCACCACTCTAATTGCTCACATACTAACGTCAAAACAGGTTCGTCAAGGAGACTATTGCAGACCTTCTGCAGAATAAGGTGGATATGTCCAACCTTGTGATCACCAAAGCCCTTACCAAGCAAGAAAACAAAGATGGAACAGGTGGCTATGCAAACAAACAAGCACACGTTGAACTTGCAGAACGTATGAAGAAGCGCGATGCGGGTTCAGCGCCTGCTCTGGGTGATCGTGTCGCCTACGTCATGGTCAGAGCCGCCACGGGTGCGAAGAACTTCGAGAAGTCTGAAGATCCTCTCTTTGTTCTTGAGAACAACTTACCTATCGATACGCGTTACTATCTGGACAACCAACTCGCGAAACCACTCGGCAGAATTTTCGAGCCTATCCTAGGTGAGAAGAAGGCAGCATCGCTACTCACTGGTGATCACACGCGTTCCATCACCGTGGCGGCACCCACCATGGGTGGTTTGATGAAGTTCGCAAAGAAGACGCAAACATGCATGGGATGTAAGAAGCCGCTGACCGCTGCATATGAGAAAGATGGTGCCGTTTGTGAGAACTGTCGGCCTCGCATCGGCGAGCTGTACACAAAGACGCTGAGCAAAGTCAGTGAACTTGAGGTTCGCTTTTCACGCCTTTGGACGCAGTGTCAGCGATGCCAAGGCAGTGTTCACTGCGAGGTCATCTGCGCGTCGAAGGATTGCCCAATCTTCTACATGCGCATGAAGGCGAGGAAAGACGTTGAAGATGCAGGCAAAGAGTTGGTGCGTTTCGACAAGGACGCGGCGCTATGGTGATCAAACAGTGTCTCACTCCTATCATGTAATTAACACGCGGTGTTTTGGGCGTTATGATGGCATGGGATATCCAACTGTATAAAATGGAGGCCAACTCAGTTTGTTCAAGGTGCGTAGCGATATATGCATGTAAACTCTTAATGAATGTTGTTGCATCATGTATTGATATCTAGTGGTTGTGTCTTCTGGAGACCGTAACTACAACCACCTTTGACAACATCTTCAGCTCCTTGATAGCGTGATCACCGTACACGGCGATCTGATTTCTTCTAGACGTCTTAGCAGTTTCCAGCATCTATATAATGCCAACCATCTCCACAATACACTCAACATCTCTTCCGACGAAAACAGGCTACCAACCATTCGTTCCACATTGCCACAACATATCGTGAACGCTGAGGAGCTGGCTTCATCAACGCATCAGCGTCATATCCTGTTGATATTCAGCGTCATATCCTGTTGATATCCTTCGCCAACCTTTCCCCGTCAAAGTGCTCAATCCTCGTCGATCTCATGGCTCACGTTGCCCTCTAGCCCAACAACAAAATCTTGGAAACTCTTCAGGAAAGTCTGAAACAGCATGATATCTTTCTGCTGTCCCAGTAGCTTCGTCACGACATCCTTGATTTTCGTGTGTACCATATCTCCGACTATGCACTGAGTTGCGAAAGCGGTATAGGCAGAGGTGTAAGCGTTGTTTTGGGCGACGTAGAGGTTTGTGAGCATGATCTGGTGGGCGCGAAGTGTGGTGAGGACGTCGGTTGTGAACTTGGCTCTGGGTGTCGAGGATGATGAGGTCTTGATCGATGGAGATGGAGAGGATATAGGCCCCGCGGTCGGATGGAGTGTTGACCTGCTGTATTGGAGGTTGGACATGATGGTAGTTGCTGTTGGAGAGGAAGATTAGCTTGGAGATCTGAAGCAATACTCTGAAGAAGGAAAAGCGCAATCGAGGTTGCTGAGGTGTTTCAATTGGTTTCCGTGGCTGAGCTTGAGGAGAGAAGTTGCATGTTGTGATTGGTGAAGTGTAAAGTGAAAGAGTAACGAACACAACGTTCCCGGATCCACATAGTATGACCGGAAGCGTTCGCTCTCACTGAAACATGTATGTTCACTCCGTTGCCTTGTACTAACTAGGTACTGCTGGATGTACCTGCCTAGGTATCCAATGCAACTAACAACAAAGTAGGAGGCAATCCACTTCTTTCCTTCTTCATTCCCTATCTCAACATTGATGATCGAGCTCGACTTGTGTCAAGAGGTCCGGTGCATTCTGGATGTGATTACAGGGGTAACGATTACCCAATATATTATTGCGCTTCCAACATCTCTCCAGAGCATTCTTGAGGATACGATGTGAGCGAGACAGATTACCCATATCAAGTTTCATGAACGCATTCTCGAGACATGCTATACCATGCGAGAATATACGGACATCTAACCTTGTCGACCGCAACAAAAGTCTTCTAAGCTGGAGCAATGCGCAATAAAGCAACCCCTTTAGCCATCGCTGTAAAGCCATCTCTATAGAAGAAGATGCTGAGGAGCTTATCTCGGTTCGTTCTGCTCTCCGCTTCGATTGTTGCACGTTTTTAATGTGTAGGCTTTCGTTCGAGAGATTCAAGATGCTTGTACGATAGGCGGAGAAAAATGTCACGATGTCAGTCTGGTGTTGAGATTCCAGCCGAACGACCCCACCATTAGCCTTATCGCGCTCGTGTACACCTTCTGTCTTCGGCAACAACCCCGCCAACAACACCCAGCCATCCATCATGGCTGAGCTACGGAGATGGCCGCTGGCACCGCACCTATCGCCTGATCTTGGTGCCTTCTTTTCTAGCACGCGTCTGTCTCTTTAGTAGCCGTTCCCCTGCATCACACAGGTTCAACCCTAAGCAACGCGTTGACGAGTAACGCCATGGCCAATATCAAAGTAGACTCGGCTGTCTCCCAGGATGACCTGGAGATTCCGGTATTCAATGTCAAACCGTAGATCTTGGTTAGCATCTAACAACGCGCAGCTCATCGACTTCTCTGCCTTTCTCTCTGGTGATGCCAACGCGAAGAAGCAAACTGCCGACGCCGTCCTCAAAGGCTTCCAAAACGCGGGCTTTGTCTACCTAAAGAACCACGGCATATCTCCTTCGACCGTATCCACCGTATTCTCCCACTCGGCCAAATTCTTCGCACGGCCGAAAGAGCAGAAAGACAAGTTGGCATGGTACTCCGCCGCCGCCAACCGCGGCTACGTAACACAAGGGCGGGAGAAGCTGGTGGTGCTGGAAGAGACTGGTACAGAGGCGGAGATGCGCGCTTTGGTGCCAGACCTGAAGGAGAGCATGGAAATTGGACGCGATGACCAGCCCGAAACACCCAACATGTGGCCAAGCGGAGACGACGAGGCGAAGGAGTTTAAGGATCAGATGATGGGCTTCTTTGAGACATGCAAAAGCCTCCACATGCAAGTCATGCGCGCTATTGCAATGGGCATGGGCATTGAGGAGACTTGGTTTGATGGCTTCACAGATGCGGGCGACAACACATTGCGCTTGTTGCACTACCCTGGTGTATCTAAGAGCATCTTCAAGAGGAACGATGGGCAACTGCAAGTCCGCGCAGGAGAGCACAGCGACTACGGTATGGCGACCGACTTGAGATACTAGATGAAGGGAGCGACTGACATAATGACAGGTTCTGTAACCCTCCTCTTCCAGGACGCACGCGGTGGCCTCCAAGTCCGCTCACCAAAAGGCACATTCGTCAATGCCACCCCTATCGAAGGTACCATAGTAATCAACGCTGGCGACCTGTTAGCACGCTGGTCGAACGATACTATCAAGTCGACGTTGCACCGTGTCGTGGAGCCGCCACCAAAACCAGAAGATGCAGACAAGGATGAATACCCACCCAGATACTCAATAGCCTACTTTTGCAACCCGAACTACGAGCGCAAGATCGAAGCTATCCCAGGAACACACGAGAAGGAAGGAAGGAAGTACGGGGACGTCATGAGTGGAGACTATTTGATCCAGCGGTTGACGGCGACATACTGAGGAAAAGATGCAATATTGTAAATCTTCGCATATGCTGGTAAGTATACCGGTCGGCTTGACTACTACAGTGGTGACTGTAAACCTTGCATCAACTTAAAGATGAATTCAGGTATATCCCAACACTTCATTCCAACTCGAGCATCAAATACCCACCAGTCTAACCAAATACAAACCTTCTTACTCCTTGTGCAGCATGAAAATTTACCGTATGTCACGAACCACATTGTCATTAGAAAAATGTTGGCGTGTTTATTCGTGAGATACTCTGACAGCTTTAATATATGCAAGGGTCTCTGCCTCCTTTCCCAGACACATCTACGGCATGAGCGCGTTGATATCTTGTCTTGATGGGTCTTCCAACAATTGATGCTCGATTGGCTGTTGAACAGGCAGGACTCTTGGTCCGTCGAACAAATGGCTGTTTTGAATATAGGCTTGATTTTGCAAAGATCGATCCTAGCAATCGATTCGGTAGAATCTTCCACGTGTAGTCACCAAGCTGCGCTGTGAAGAAGGAAGTACAGGCCCCTACAGCGTCCGCAGGTGATTGCTTGCGAAAGGAGCTGATGCTGTGAGCCAGCTCTCCTATCTGCTCACTACCCGTTTTTTCTTATGATCTTTGATTTACATTTCCATTGATACTTTGACTTAGCACCGAGGATTGAGGAAGAAGACGAACACACGTGTTGAACAAGACTCGCTAGTAGCCATATATAGCTGCCACTACTCTACTACAAAGCACCAAGTCGAGTCCCAGCCTGTAGTAGCAAGCTTGTAACACCACCATCTATCGATTCTAGCGGCGCAACAAGAGCCATTTGACTCCAGCTAAACAGCGTGTTGCGTCCCCCAAACACGAACACTTCGAAACGTCCCACGAATGTATCATTAGCCCATACGCGACTACCATTAACCACGTCCGTTTCTATACGCAATGTAGTTGGAAGTGTGATAGGTACTGGCTCGTGGGAAGATGACGACTGGTTCGTCCATATGCGACCTGGATGGCCAAGATCGAAGCCATCGCTAGGAGACACGGAACGTAGAGGATATTCGAAGCCATCCGCAGTGGTGAACGTAATTGTTTCGATGCTGCCACTAGATTCGTTGGAAGATTTGCTTAGAGACAGCGAAGTATCGGGCCCAGAGAGGGTGAATGGCGAGGATATCTCCAGGGTAAGCGTGTATGGTGGACCATACGATCCGAAGTCTAGCGGCGCAGTGCTGTTGTTTAAAGAAGTCTTCCATGATAGCAGCTTTGGGCTTTTCATGTCCACTTGCGCGCTGTGGAAACGTCGATCCAAATTTTGTCCTGGAGCTTTGGCTGCCTGATCAGTCATGAGTTAGCCATAAGGTCAAAGTGCATCGCTTTCACTCTCCGCTGTACATACCAGGAACGCAACGCTGTCTGATAAATCGTCCGAGGCAATCTTTGCACCCCGCGTGCCAGCCCAAGCACGCGCTGCCATGACGGGTATACCCTCGCGCATCGCGTAGTAGGCTTCAAGCTGGGTAGTCGCATCCGCGCCATTATCGTTCCAGGCCGCAAGGATAGCACCCTTGTTACCGCTAGCACTGGGTTGTAGCTGTTCTGTAGTATTGACTGGATTGTAAAGAGACGGCTCCCACTGCCAGCCGGGAATGTTGGCGAAGTTCATCGTGCGCGTGACGTTGTAAAACTGTGGGTAGGGCGCGGGCAGGATAGGCATATGATCATTCTTGAGACTCATGTATGCCCACCAGTCCTCGGAGTTGATGATGTTATATCCGCCACCCTGAAGCTCAAGAGGATCTGATTGACCGTACTGCCAGTGTTGTATGATGACATCCTTGGAGATGGTGAGATTCTCGGATGGCTCATAAGTACCCCATATACGTATGCGCTTACCGGAAGTACTGTTGACGAAGTCGGACATCTCATTGACAAAGTTGATATAGTCATCCGCTAGGTCAGGATCGTATTCGTCAGCGCCAATGTGAACTTCCTTCGTTTGAAACCATGGCAGGAACTCAGACCAAATCGCTTTGACTGTGGGGATAGCATCTGGATGGCTCAAGTTCAGCAGGTCCTTCTTTGCGAGTGCCAACTCAGGCTTCCATTTCGTAATTGCTAGTGCGTGACCTGGAGCTTCGATTTCGGGGATGACAGTGACGCCACGTTGTGCGCAGTGTTCTTGAAAATCTTCAAAGTCGGCTCGCGACAGTGTCTCGTTCGGGCGCTGGATGATACCCTGTAGCTCGGGATTTTGTTCTGGAAACAGGGAGAAATGCGAAAAGACATTCTGCCAGGTCTCATTGCGGCCACGATTCAAGGGATAGTTGTCGCTGGAGTGGTAATGGAATTCCGAAATCTTGAAGAACGAGGCATATGTGCAAAGCTCTTTGAGAAAGTGTTTATCGTACCTAAATATAGGGGTGCGAAGTCAGTGAATCTCTCATATGCAGTTCGTACATGGAGATGACTTACCATTTGCGACCCGCATCGAGCATGAATCCCCGTGTGCTATACGCGGGCGCATCAACTGTGTGGCCCGTCACGAGTGATCCGTTTCCAATCAGCAGCTCTTGTAAAAGAGTGCGCGTTCCCCAAAACATGCCCCTCGCACCAGTCCCGCCTATGTACACACTACCATTAGTAACATCAAGTTCATATCCCTCTTCTGTAGATTGACCATTCTCGTATGTCAATGGAGTATTGCTATCGCGGATTGGGCCGAGATGAATACCAGTGAGAGGAAAGTCGTCTACTTGCTCCAAAGTCCAAGAATCACCGAAGAGCGACGAAAGGTCGGCGCGAAGTGTGTCCGCGAACTCATGAGCAGA